TTCACCACGCTGACGCATGGACCCGTACAAGAAGCTACCGGAGACGATGGAGGTAGAGGATCCGGAATAGGTGGCCACTCGGAAGATCAATTCGGCAACATGGCAAGTCAGCCGCCTCAAAATCTGAACAGGCCGACCGTCAAAAGGAAGGGTGGCGGACGAGGCGGGCGGGGCCTGGGACAGGGAAGATACCAAGCAAAAGCTCAGCACTTTGGCATCAGCTGTGGTGACGCCTGCTAGTGTCACGCCTCTCTTGGGGGCACCACCGTCTTCCCTTCCTTCCCTTGCTTGCGCTCCAGGTGAAAACCCATGTCCGCTTAGTTGGACTCTATGACGCTGGCACATTGTGTCGTTACCCTCTCAAGGGAGCCATCGACCTCTTCGCCGTTCCAGTTTGGGATGATGATCCAAGGCAGACCGAGGTCGGGTAGTGTTTCAACACAAGCGAGTCTCTAACTTTTAGCCAATAAAGTGTCACTAAAATAATTCAAAATGTTAAAAAGTGACTTTCTTGGAATGCCAATGAAATGACTGGACAGATTTGAATAAAAATGCCAAATATCAGACACCTAGCTCTTTTTCGAGTTTTGCAAAAAATACCTTGAAAAGATCTTTGTTCTTCAAAAAAACACTGATGGAGCCCATCAAATATATGTGAAAATACATGGAAATTCAGATAAAGGAATCTAAAACGCTAGGGAGATGCATAGCCGCACATGCTGAGGTGGAGCCACCTGATAGGTGAACCTACAGTATCACATAGTGGAGTTGTTAAAAATCAATCTGCTGCTAGATGATGTGTCCTAGAAAGGCTCTAGGAAGACCAAAAAACAATTCTAATATCCCGTGTATGTATCCTTCGTATGTGGTTGCTTTAAGATTCGTGCTACTTTTTTACTACAGTTTTTAGATGTATTTTTTATTTCAAATCATTACATTGTGTTTTTTCTTCTCGTTTCAAGGTGTACCTGAACGTTCATTGTGTGTCTTCGTGTATCAGCAAACCTGATCCAAAACAAGTGCATTTTTCTATTGGTTCATAATGAGACATGATGATACATGTTGAAACAAGAGAAAAACAACCTAACCAGACATTTTGAAATGAGATACTCCCTCCGTTTCAAAATAGATGACTCACTTTGTGCTAAGTTTCCCGCAAAAAAAAAAACTTTGTGCTAAGTTAGCACAAAGTTGAGTCATCTATTTTGAAACGGAGGGAGTATATTTTAACAACAAACAAAAAATAGCACAAATCTCAAAGCAATCGTGGATCCATGCATGGAACATCCTTGCATGGTAGAATAACCACTCTCATAGGAAGACCTAGTAGACCAGCAAGTAAACGATCACACACGTATGGACGACTATGGAGCTGGTGACTCTCAGTCTGAGGAATAACTTTTACTCCTCATTTTCTGCTGGATTGATAGCTATCGATGAACATCAACATTATCGTAGCGATCTGAGTACTAATCTTTGAAAGAATGTCTATGTGGCTATGTCCTATACCTCCATGTGCAAAAATAACATATCTGACTCTTTGTGGAATTGTTGTAAAATTACTTTGGAAACATTTCATTTAGAAGATAAAAAACGTTGATGGGACACATTAGATAGATTCCTAAATGCATGGATAATGAGATAAAAGGAATCCGAAATACTCCACCACATAGCCACATATACTGAGCTCGAGCCACCTGATTGCTAAATCCAATTCATCCACGTAGCAGAGCCGTTGGAAAATGACTTTGCCGCTAAGCGACGTGTCCTAAAAGCATCTCCAACAAACGCACTTAATAAGCCACGCGCTGAAAAAAAAAGCCTATTTGACGCGCGAGAGACAAAACACAGCGCTCCAGCAGAAACTGTAAATAGAGCTCGTACAAAAATGAAGTTGTAACTTTAACATACACGGGCTGTGGGGTTACAAATTTGGGATACCGGCTTGTGCGTGCGGGCTGCTGGATGTGGGGCCGTTGGGTTGGACGCCATGTTTTTGTGCGTCTGATAATACAAAAAACATTATTTTAGCACTGCAAAACTTTTTTAGCGTGCCGCGCTACCACGCGTCTGTTGGAGATGCTCTAAAAGTGACGTGAGAGGGTCTAGAAGGTCAGTGAGTAAAACGATCAAGCACGCATGGAGCTACTAATTCTTGGGCTGGAAGAATAACTTTTACTAATTTTCTGCTTAGGCGATTATCTATCAGAAAATAACCTATATATTTGTTACTGAATCTTTAAAAGGATATCTATGTCCCATATACACCAGCATGCAAATATGTGAAGAGCTTGGGCACTGGAGTTGATCTCTGGGCGGCACATCCGGTGACAATCCCGGCTCTATGCTTCACCTGCACCGGAGCTCTCGGGGTTGCATGCACAGCACAGGTGATGCTACCCGCTCTACATCTGCTGCCTGTTCCGATGCCACTGCCGCCGGAGCAGGCCGTAGTGGACGCAGTGGCGGAGACAAAGGGGGGCGAGCAGGGGCCTGGCCCCCCCTATCGATCGAGCAAACATCGAGTAGGCCGTAGATAATTAGCGATATGATTCAAGTACAGAAGTAATTGGCCCTCCTAACTCAACGTGATTTATGAAGAAAGGAAAAAGGGCCAATGTAAAAGCCCACTAGCAATCGTTTACAAGCCCATGACAAGGCCATATTTGTTGATCGGCCTTCGTTAAAAGTCTCCTGGACGCTGGGCATTATTCCCGATGATGATTAGCGCGTGTGTTGATTAGCGCAGCGCTGTTGCCGTCCTGCGCCCTCGCCGCGGCCCGCCTTGGCTCTCCCTTCTCATGATCTGATTCGTAAAGTCAAGCTAATTCACTCGTCAATTATTTGTCCTGCAGACAATGATCTAGCCAAGGTTAATCCAGCACTGTCTATTTCTCTGAATTCTCATCTTGTATCATTAATTTGTTATACATCAGATGTGTGATTTGTGATGCGTCTCGCTCGGGCACAGGCAATCGTTCGAAATCATGCACCTTCCAACCACGACCAGCCGGTCTACCTCGACCTAGCAGTAGAGGGGACGAGTACAGGTTGGGTTTGATTCTCTATATATGTATTCATGTAATATTGACCTTTTTTTCAATACAACAACAAAGTTACATAATAGAACCAGTGATGATTTTCCACTCAAACCTATTATTCGGTTATACAGTGATTTTTCTTATTTGTACATATGACATGTAGCATTTCATGCCATATTTCGGAGTAGTTTGATTATCAACTTTGTCTAGTCTGCTTCAGCCACAAAAGGTTGTGTGTGTCTATGCAAAGTTAAAATGAATGATACTAGTCCCTTCGGGGACATCCGGGAAAGATGAATGATACTCGGATGTAAAACTATTAGGTAGTTTGTGAGGCAAAAAAAACTGGCTTTATCGTCGGTCTGCCCTCCCTATGTCTAAATCCTGGCTCCGCCCCCGACGGTTCTTGCCTCGCGAAGCTCCACAGCCTCTTGAACATGCCCGGAGACTTGGACTCGTCGCGCCACCATCCTTGACTTGACCCCGGAATATCAATCACCAGCACCGCTGCGCTGCCGTTGCAAGGGTGGAGCTGCCTCTCCATCGGAGGTCACGGTCACCGCGCGGAGCGTGGCCTGGTCTGAAATCCCGAGCATCAGCAGTTCAGCACACACGCCGGCAGGTTCCCGGTGTAATTCGCCGGCTCCTGCAGTGTGGGAGGGAGACTCGTCGGCCTAAGCGCGTCGGGAATCTTGCCGATGACTGTGACCCGGCAGAGCGGGCAGGTGGAGCGGGACGCCAGCCACACGCTGATGCACCCGGCGTGGAACCCGTGGCCGCAGCAGGGCAGGAACCTCGCCTGCTCCCCGTCCTGGAGCCCGGCCAGGCACACCGCGCACTCCACCACCCCGACGTGGTCCGCCGTGCGGTACATCGTGACCGGCAGCGAGCCCAGCAGCTCCGGGCCGACGCCCCTCGGCGCGGGCACCTCGGCGGCGCCGGTGCTGAAGTAGTAGTAGCGGAGGAAGCTGAGCGGGAAGACGACGAAGATGAGGAACAGCACGAGGATGGCCGCCGCGATGAGTATGCCGTGGAACGGGTCCATGACATGCGTGTGGCTCGGTGAGTGAAGATCGATGCGGTCCGTTCCATCCCCAGGTCACTCGTATATGTATGCATGCGGATGCGGACGCGGAGGGAGGGACATGGATGGATGGAAGAGGGGAGAAAGAAGCTGGAACCGACGCGCGCATGACGACGGGTCAACAGTCCGAGTGGAGCAACCCGTATGCGTGACGACGGGTCAACAGTCCATGCATGCAGCAGGGAGCTCGCGTGCGAATTCGCAGGTTTTTATCAAACGTCGCCCTCTCCTCGCTTGTCCAAGTTTTCAAGCTGCAACTGGCCTATGATTCAGTCCACTCGTCTTGAGGACGCCGGAGATCCCCGCTCCCGTGTTGCAAAACTTGCAAAAGCGGAATGGGCCGGCCGGTAAAAAGAAGGGCGGCGGGCAGGGCCTAGGACGGGGAAGATACCAAGCAAAAGCTCAGCGCTTCGGCATCAGCAGCGGTTATGCCTGCTAGTGTCGCGCCTCTCCTGGGGCACCGTCGCGGTTCTTCCCTTCCTCCCCTTGCTTGTGCTCCAGGTGAAAACCCATGTCCGCTTAGTTGGACTCTGCGGTGATGACGCATTGTATCATTACCCTCTCAAGGGAGCCATCGACCTCTTCGCCGTTCCCGTTTGGGAGGATGATCCAAGCTCACCTCTCCAACAAAGGCAGACCGAGGTCGGGTAGTGTTTCAGCGACAAGCGAGTCTCTAACTTTGTATTCCAATAAAGTGTCACTAAAATAATTCAAAAGGTTAAAAAGTGACTTTCTTGGAATGCCAATGAAATGACTGAACAGATTTGAATAAAAACGCCAAATATCAGACACCTGGCTCTTTTCCGAGTTTTGCAAAAAATACCTGGAAAACATCTTTGTTCTTCAAAAAAACACTGATGGAGCCCATCAAATATATTTGAAAATACATGAAAATTCAGATAAAGGAATCTAAAATACTAGAGAGATGCATAGCCGCACATGCTGAGGTGGAGCCACCTGATAGGTGAACCTACTGTCTCACATAGCGGAGTTTTTTTTAAGGGTACGCAAATTGCGTACCTTAGCTTTATAGAAGGAGAGAAATAGAGTCATACAACCACATATACCTCTCGCTGTGAACAACGAGCGTAGCACAACTCCACACCCGACACAAACAAGGACAACCACACACGACTACACACTACGACATACAAGAGCCTACCCGAAACCGAAAGCCTCGCCGTGTCTCACCCGACGCTGGTGATCACCGAAGAACAGCAACTCCAGCTTCCTAGGTAGAGCCAGCGACGACCGTACATAGCGCCAGAGAAGAACGGTCCAGGCAGGGGTGCACGCCGGAGGAGCGCAACCTAGGGCCTCTTATCTCCTAGCACGAAGCTCACAACAGAGAAATAACGTCAGAAGACGCCGCCATCGTGCCGATCCTACGAATCAAGGCTTTCGCCCCGGAGATGGTTGCTGATACAAGGCAATGTGGAAAATGGCGCTACACTCGGCGACGCCTCCAGGAAGGGGAATAACACCCACGGGTGCCATCGACGCCGGTCCAACCAAGGCCGAATAGAATTTTCATCCGTAGCATTGCACATTTCCACGCCTCCAAGATTCCGGCCAGCCCCGAAAGATGTCTCTCACCGCCAACACCGCGACCACTTGCAGCCGGAGCCACACATCACTGCCGAGGAAGCACACCTCAAGCCACCACCTTCAGCACACTAGGAACCACAGCAACCACCAATCGATGCAGGGACCAGATCCGTCGCGATAGCCTTCACCCACACCTAGGGACTGCCACACAGATGGATCTGACACGCACCATCAACCACACTTCGACGCCAACTTTACCGAGGCATCACCGCCGGCACCTCACACGTAGGTGGTCGGGCGCCCGCTGCTCGCCAAGGCCCTACCTAGTCGAGCCTCGCGGCGCCGCCGCCTCCATGGCTGCGCATGCGCTGCCGCCTCCGACGAAATCAGCGCACCACCCACATCCACTTCCCACTGCAACCCTCGTGCAGATCCAGGGGAGCCCCGTCGAGCATCCCGTCGTGAACCAGCCTCCGGCAGCACCCGACCGGGAGCCATCCGACGCGCCAGATCTGACCTGACATGGCCGAAGAACAGCAGCCACTCCACACCTCCAGCAAGGGCCAGGACCGTCCATGACGGCCGTCACCTACTCCAAGGGACGGCCTTGCAAGGACCCCAGCACCAAGGGCCCAGATCGGACCCGAAACGCCCAAATCTGACCAGCCCCACTGTGGATAGCATTACGCCGGCACCACTAGGAGAGCTCCGCCGCTCACCACACGGCCCACAGGTGGTCGGCCGCTTGCTGCTCGCCAGGAGCACCCGCCTAGCCGAGCCATCGAAGCGCCGCCACCAACCCGGCATGTAGCTCGCGCCGCCACCTCTAGCACGTCGTCGAGCCCGTCCGCCACCAGCACATGGCTGCCCTTCTCCGCCAGGTCCGCCGCTCCTCCGCGCCTCCTCCCGTGTGCCGGCGACGCCGCGCCACTGCCCACACCGCCACCCACGCCGCCCATGGGACAACCCGCCTCCGCGCGAAGGGGAACCGTCGAGGCGCGCCGTCCTCTCCCGCTGGCGTGGCCGCCACCGCCGGCACCGGCGGCGGCAGCGGCCGGGGGAGGGAGGGGGAAAACGGCTGCTCGCTCGATCTAGGGTTGGGGTCTCCGGAGTCGCTCGCGCGAGCGACCCGGGAGGCAGTGTGTACACATAGCGGAGTTGTTAAAAATAAATTTGCTGCTAGATGATGTGTCCTGGAAAGGCTCTAGGAAGACCAGGAAAACAATTATAACCACTCTCATAGGAAGACCTAGTAGAGCAGCAAGTAAACGATCACACACGTATGGACGACTATGGAGCTGGTGACTCTCAGTCTGAGGAATAACTTTTACTCCTTATTTTCTGCTGGATTGATAGCTGTCGAAGAACATCAACATCATCGTAGCTATCTGAGTACTCCCTCTGCAGTGATCTAAACACTCTTACATTAGTTAATAGAGGAAGTACTAATCATCTTTTAAAAGAATGTCTATGTGGGTACGTCCTATACCTCCATGTGTAAATATGTACAGTACTACATAGCTTAGGCATTGGATCGAGCTGATCTCTGGCCGGTGGCAATTCCTGGCGATGGCGGCTCAACGCTACGGGGTTGCGCAGGCGATGCCAATGCCCCGCTCTACGTCTGCCGTTGCGCTGCCGCCGGCGCAGGGCGTGGTGGACCCCGACGGCCCTTGCCTCCCGAAGCTCCACAGCCTCTTCACCGACCTCAGCCCGGCCACGCCGGGAGACTTGGACGCGTCGCGCGGGGTCGTCGCTGCCACCATCCTTGGCTCCGGAACGTCGATCACCAGCACTCCGTCAGTGGCCACGGTCACCGCGCCCAGCGTGGCCTGGTCTGAGACCCCGAGCAGCACACTCGCCGGCAGCGGCAGGCTCGCTGCGTAGTTGGCCGGCTCCGACGGTACGTGAGGGAGACTCGTCGACGTCGAAGCCTCGGGCCTGCCGGCGATGGTGACCCGGCAGAGCGGGCAGGTGGTGTGGGCCGCCAGCCACCTGTCGACGCACCCGGCGTGGAACCCGTGGCCGCACCCGGGCAGGAACCTCGCCTCCTCCCCGTCCTCGAGCCCGGCCAGGCACACCGCGCAGTCCACCAATCCGACGTCGCCCGCGGCGCGGTATACCGTGACCGGCAGCGACCGCAGCAGCTCCGGGTCGACGCCCCTGGCAGGCGGACCCGCCGTCCGGGCGCTCCGCGCACGCGCCCGACGACGACGACCGCTGGGCGCGACGCCGGTGCTGAAGTAGCGATGGTGGAGGAAGATGAGCGCGAGGGCGAACGTCATGCACAGCAGGAAGATGATCGCCGAGGCGAGCACGCCGGCAGCCGACACGGCGGGCGCGGCCCAGCGCGACGCCGACGAGTCCATGGCGGGGCGGCCCTGTGGTCGGTGTCCAGGTCTCGGTCGTTGATTAATAGTTCCGCGTTGCCTGATGAGTGAACATGAGCATCTATGTATGCACGCGGAGGGAGTTTTGGTGTGAAGAGGTCAACGATTCATTGCAACCCGCACCGGCACAAACATGAAGATAAACGGCTTCGATTTGTTTTGCAGTATGAAGGAGACACAAAGGGAGAGAAAACAGGTAACACATGACTGGCAAGGGCTCCCCAATTATTTACTCTTCCTAATAAAAAAAAATACAAATCATGATTTACATCTGCAATCGCTCTAACCGCTCCATCCAGCTACATTTCTCACTAGCCCTATACTAAGACAACCAGAGAACTACACTAACCACATTAGCTTCACCCCAGCTACCATCGGTGTCAGGCAACATCGAATCTACTCCATGCCCCAGATTAGATTTTACTCCCTCCGTTCCAAAATAGATGACTCAACTTTGTACTAACTTTATACTCAGAGGGAGTAGATGTTACGTGATTCCTAATTTGTCGAAGGCGCCTTCTGCTCATTGCTCTTCCCCAGCCCCGCGCCTTCCTTATGTTTGCTGCCGTCCTCTTTCTTTTCGTTGATGGAATGTAATGCGGCGCGTAGTCGCCTCGGGGATCTCGTCCGCCGGTCGAACCCTCTTATGCACACATATCCTGCAAGAGATCACAGCACGCAGTATGAAATACGATCACATGAGAAAAGGCGCCACATATCGCATCGCAGCTTAATTTGTGGGTAGCGGGGGATTCACAAATGATCTTTCAAAGCTAGTTTATTAGCAAAGTTACACTGCCTCGCGTCTCAGCTTCTTTACTTGTGATTCTGCAAAGCAACTTTCATCCCCAAAACTGTCAGCGGGGCGCTGATTTCACTTGTGATTTTGCAGGATTTTTTTTTCTCACAATGGTCCATGTTAGGCATTTTATGAGAGCAAAAGCGTCCATCCTTTTCAATATCTGAAGACCCTTAGCCCATCAGTGACAAATAAACTAACGAAGAAGAGAAGAAAATGGCAAGCACTCTTTACCTTTCTTGTAGCAGTCTTCAATGTCTTGTCTTGTTTGACCTGAGATTGATTAGTACGCCAGTTAATATCACTCATCAGTAAACAATTTCAACACATTCACAGTTCAACAATAAGCTACCTTTTGTGATAGAGTGTATTGATGAGCCAAAATATACAATGCATTTCCCCAGATCGTTGAGACACTCACTAGAGAAGACTATTGGAAGACGGCTAGATGAGTCATCTGCAAAGACCTGCAAAGGGGTTTAGTTGAAAAGTTAGTCTCTAGCCAATTTGGTCTAGAATTGTCAGAAATTAACAGCGTAAAATATGGCAGTCTGCGCACCTCATGATCCTGAAAGTAGGTACCGTTCAATGGGAAGTTTCCTGTGGATGCTGTTCGACAGGGTATCTGCTCATTCATGTATGCACCAATCGAAAATAAGGATAAAAGATTTACTCATATTGTAATATATGCTAGAGGGTTCATATCATATGTCTGATTTCGGTCAAAACTAAGCACTATAATTACATGGTGCAGGGCACAAAGAGACGCGCATAATTATAACCAAATTATTCCACATGACCATCATTATCAAGTGAGAATAGCTTAATGGTACAATAACAGAGAAAAATATTGCTCTCAGATAATCAGGGTTGTGGATGAGTTCATACAAATGACAAAAAAAAGCCCAACAAGAATTTATTAGAGTTGCAGTGAATTTCAAATTGTGCTAGATTTGTATGGCCACGGCTGGGAAAACGGTAGTTAGGCCGATGCTGGCTGGTTGATTTGTATATTCTCGGCTTTTAGTATGAGATGGTTGATGCATGGAAGTGACGAAACTCAATAATTTGAACTTACTGCACCTTATGTTTTAGTTTCTTAGAGATGTCGACAATTGAATGTACCTGACTTTTCTATTAATAAAGTAAAGGTGGATGGTGACACAAACAGAATGAAAATTGGTTAACTATAGAATCCAACTTGGATAACTTTTGGTTACTGCCATCAAAAGTTAACGAAATCATATATACTATTATGATGTATGAGCTACCCCTTAAAGATCAGCAAAGCAGCTGAATTGGAGAAATTAAGTATAGTTTAGATCATTCCTAGCTACTTGTATCAACTTTGTTTCATGCATAGTTGCATACCTCAACGTTCCTAATCTATTGACTCTTGACTCTTCTTAATATTAACTCTGTTCCTTGAGAAAAATAATATTATTTTCTGCATCAAGTTTACATATATTTTACAAAAGTAAAGTACACTCTGAGCAAGTGATTACTCACCAGAATTGTGCCCTTCACCATGCAGTTCTGGACAGCACCAGGAGGAGGATTGTCAGGACAAGGATGAAGAACCAGGAGATAAGGAGATGGATCTTCTGGAACTCGCTCTTCAAACTGGAAGACATATCAGTCAAATTATTAATCAACATCATTGTAATAGTAAAACATACTACCTCATAATTGTAGTACAAAGATAAGGCATCATGGCATACAACATACCTCTTCCAACAATGGATGACCGTCTGGGAGCACATACCTGTAGTAACAAATATGCAATCTTAGTGGGGCACTGCCGATTTCTGAGGACAAAAGCTCAATATATCAGGAAAGTATATTATTACGTACGCAAGGTGCTCTGTCCTAAGACGCCCTATGTGTTTCATTTTCCTGCTTGTATGTTGTGAATTGCTCAATGCCAAATCTTTTCCACGATTTGGTGTCCAAGAGCAATTGCTCACCGTAGGCTTGTTTGAACACAGATTTATTTCAACGTCGTAGTGTACTCCTGACATAATATCTTCAATATCAACAAGATCATCTTCATTGGGATATTCTTGCTCATCAAGTGCTTCATATTCATATTCGGGACTTGGTGGCACCTCAATAATGGGCTCACAGCTGCGGGAGGGTTGTCTGCCAGCAGTCCTGCTTTCTTCGATTTGATGACTTGGTATGGAGCTACCATTTGACAACAGTCTTTCAGAAGTAACTATACTTGTTTTCTCTTCACCACCACGCACATGCTCCTCTGCAGGAGGAAGTAATGGTCTGATAACAAGCAAATGTTAGTATTCCGTGCTTCAATCTAAAATTAGTCCAAATCAACAAAATAAAAAGTTCACCATGCAAATATCGTCTCTACAAGAAAGACACAAATCTTATATGAGTAATCATCTTTGTATATTGCACCTTCTAAAAGGTTTTACTTCACTAGTAATTTCCAATCCTTTGTTTAAGACATAGCACTTGAATATCAATAATAGTTAGCTACATAAACACCAATGTCACAGTACTACCTAGTTCGATGGCAGCTACTCAAATTTAAACAGCATCCGCAAAAAAAAGGTAGACAAAACTTGACATGGGAGGAGTCCGTAAAGAGAGATCTGAAGGACTGGAATATCACCAAAGGACTAGCCATGGACAGGGGTGCGAGTTAGTTAGCTATCCACGTGCCAGAACCATGAGTTGGTTTCAAGATCTTATGGATTTCAGCTCTAGCCTACCCCAACTTGATTGGGACTAAAGGCTTAGTTGTTGTGGTTGCAAGAGTTCACTACGTACCATAATAACAATATCTCGGTGTGTTGCTGAAATAAGCTCTAAATAAGTTTGCAACATGTGAACATACCTGGTAAGTTTACTTTTGTAGTACCTGCAGTCCCCACGGAATGGGCAAGCATTGCAATTTGGATCTACTTTTGTGCAAATTACCTGCATAATGGAAGCATCCACCATAAAACATTTGTAGCTAAACCATCATAAATTTTATTAATCACTTTTGTGGAGCAAATACCTTTCCGAAAGTTATCATGAGACAGTGTAGTTCATACCTATTATTTTACATATTCGTCAGATGTGTCTACTAAAATTCTAAAAGTTACATAAAGAATGTTGATACATTTCAAATGATCAGGACTTACAATTTTTCTTTGTCAATAGTACATAGTCGAGGCCATAAGTAATTCTGCACATCCTGCATGAGTGGATATCTTCAAGAAAGTAAAGTAGGCATAAGAACTGGGTTGTCAATCATAGCTAGTTATTCACATATTCAGGTGCAAAAATCTTACAGGTCAACCGAATGAAACTCCTCAGAACAGCATTGCAGTTCAACCCATTGTAGCCTTGTGACTATGCGAGCTACGTTGACATCAACCTGAAAGGAGTGGAGTGCGATCACAGCTTTGATTTAAAATGCATTCACCTGACAGAATTTGATTTGTTTTTAAGAAACAAAAAATAACTTACTGGGAATGCTTTATGCTCCAGTGACAAAAGACGTATGCAGTCGACACTTTTAGCTCCAAGTCCATTTATGCTGAGTAGGTATTTTCTAATGCCCAGAAAAAAAAGATATGAGTGATATAATTCCACTGAGCATGCAGATTTTATGTAGCTCTGAACAAATATTAGTTTCTTATTTTATCCAGCCTGCTAGCAGTTCCCTACCACAAGTACCATGATATTCCTCCAATCTATTAAAGTTTCTGAGAGTAAATTGCTGCATGGTTATATTTATTTATAAATGCAAGAAAATTGAACATCTAAAAATAGGGACAATATCGTTATGCAGCTATTTCTTGATAGTTCAGCACCATTAAAACAAAGAACACTAAAATGGTGATGTAACTAACTGCAGCATATGTTTTGTGAAATATATGGCCATACTTTGCGCTTTCTCGTGGTAGACATCTAAGCCAATCCAGGTCAAAGCTTCCATGATCTTTCTTTATGCGCGTGAGAAATGCCTGTAGAAGGTCAAATAATACTTTCAGCTCTTGCGTAAAATGCAGAAAACAAGAATTGAAGAAATATGTTGCTAGTGGTGGGAATATGAATATTAGTTAAATAATAAAATGATGGTTCACTCAAAACTGCTGTTAAAAAAATGTTATACAAGTAGTGATTGAGTGATTCGGACAAAATATGTTACTAGTGATGGGAGTATGGATATTAGTCAAATAATAAAATGATGTTTCACTCAAAACCGCTGTTTAAAATAGTGTGATGTGAAAAAACGTCTTACATTATGGGACGGAGGGAGTACTATACAAGTAGTGATTGCGTGAATCGGACAATACATTAATTGCATGGAAAATAAAGAGTTCCAATGTAGCTGACAGTTCATACTTCCATCATTTTTTTCTTAGCCGAGCCGAAAATTTCAATATTCCAAAGTAGATGTTACAGAACAACAAACAACTTGGTAATCAAACATATTACTGACTACTCCCTCCGTCCCATAATGTAAGACGTTTTTTGACACTACAACATATATGAAAGTCTGCTTACATAAATTTTGCTGACAGTTATTATGGATGGGAGGGAGTACAAAAGATGAGAACATTCATTTTTTTCAGGAGAAAGGTATTTAGCAACACATTCTTGGTACAGAAATGTTGGGGCCGTATTATAGAGTTAAGTAAGACAGTGTATCCCGTGATCACATACCTGTATCCGCAATGCGAGAAGGTAATGTTGTCCCCTGCCTGCAATGCACTTTGCAACGTCAACAAATGAGGCCTGCTGTACAGCTTCCCAATTTACTTTGTCAGTTATTCTAGTTTTGCTTCCGTTATCATATCCTTTTCTATATGCTTCATCCCGTAACTTATCCCAGCGAGCAGTATCTTCCACCCGCAGCGTGGCTATGAACTTTCTTAAGGTGTTTTCAGTGCATATTGGTTTTCCAGATTTATCCTTGACTAAGTTCAAAAGATCATCCTTCTCCCAGGTAGAGATGTCTTTCTCTTTAATAATAGCTAGGAACTTCTCCATAATTGTTTTGTAGTCTTGACCATAGTTTCCTTTTACCTCCTCACCGTAACCAACTTCCTCGCAATCAATGGGATTGGTAAAAACTGAATTGGTAGAATCACCAGCATCATGTGCTTTAGTCAAATTCAAGTTTTCTTTGACGTCAACTGTTGACAGAGGTACATATGAACATTCTTCAGCATTACCCTTCCTCTTATTCATAGGAAATTTTGCTGCCAGGATCATAAAAGCATTGCTGTATGTTCATACAAAAACAATTAGTAATCAAAAGTGCATATGATGTTCAAAAAATGTATATCAGTGCCAGCACAAGCATGCAAGCAAAGACCACATTCTCTACTATATTACCTTGATAAATGGTCAGCAACATTTTGTGTCAGGAAAGTACCAACCACAGAATCAATTACGGATCCTCCCCATCGAGAATATTCTCTGGGACCTGACACAAAAGCAGTTCAAAACTTAGAATCCAATGTGAACTTGTGTATTTCATATATAAGCAGAGGGTTGTAAAAAAACTTATTTGATCCATCATCCACATGTTTACTGTGGATGCAAGGGCTATACTGCTCATTATATATCACGAAATATTCATTTTCACCTGTTTTTTTTTGGAACTCGGTACTAATTAGCAACAGGTACAACATTGTTCAAAGTCCTACGCTTTCGCCTGCATGAGAGAAAAACTGGAACCAAGTGCCACTATCAAATACCTAATGCCGGATTATTTTTGTTTCTCCATTGAACTACCCAATGTATAGACACTAAAAAACTATCGATTAAATTGTTTCTCCACAGAAGACATCAAGTGACTAATGGCTGACCTGACTCACCTGATATGTCTGTAGGAGTTTTCAAAACTTCAAGTTTTTTATTCTTTGTGAGAAAAGCTTCAGGTTTATCAAAGGCAATGCTACGCTTCTTACTTTTCATGTATTTATTTTCCACTTTGGCATGGAAGTGCATTTCACTTAATATGTCATCTTCTTTTCCTTATTGCACGCTGCAGAAATGAAGACAGAGAGAAGGGAATGAGCCAGGATCATTACCGAATAAATCCTTTACGGTCGCAATAAACCAATCCACACGCTTCTTATAATCCCGCCGAGTTTCATTCCATCCAGGCCCGCTGCCGATATCAACCCCTTCGAAACTTTCACTGTCAATCTCTTCCCACTTGGTCAGAACGCCACACACTCGCAATGTCTCAACATCGAGGCCTAGCACCTTGGGCCGCACTTGATTCGAGTGATTTCCGTGGCCACCCAAACCCCCAAATGGGACCAAAGTAGAGCAGGACGCATCAGTCGGAGCAGCATTCTGGTAAGGAACAATGGCCCAGTCGCCACTTGCTTTCTTTTTCTTCGTCTTCGTCGCACTTGAAATATTGTTAACCTCTGCAAGGAGCCGCAGATTGGCCATCAGCTTGGCCCTGCCGAAACTCCCCGTAATGACTTCCAGATCGAAGTCTAACTTGCGCTTTGATAGCTTATTATCAGTGCCATCTCCAACAGATCCAGCCCCGCCGTCCTTTTTTGCCACCGGCGTCTTGTGAGGCTTAGCCGGCGTTGTGCGGGCAGGCTTGGGGTGTTTATCCTTCATCACCTTCAGCCGAGGCACCCCCTTGGTGGACTTCTTCTTTGGCCTCCAATGGGTGCTCTCCTCTTTCTCCGGGGTGGGGATGAAGATAGGAGTCGCAGCAGCAGCGCTAGGAGCGGAACCAGCCCCTGGCGGCGCAATCTCGTCGGAGGAATCGGAGGTCTGCACGGTGGCTGCGCAGCCATCAGTGGCGCCGGGTACAGATCGAGGCTGTTCCCCAATGGGGGAACTGAGGTAGATGAAGCCGTGCTTATCAAACACCCCCAAATCAGCCGACGCGGGGGCGACCGCGGGAGAGCAAGAGGAGGCGCCATCCGTGGAGGAATCGAACGGCGGCCGCCGGCCATTGTCGGGGGTCGCCGGCGGCATGAGCAATCCAGGCCCTGGTCCAGCAGAGACAATGAAATCAGAAATTCGCAGAGATTGGCGGCGTTTCCTACCCCCAGACCTCAGATTCGATCAAGAAGAAGGGATTAGGCAGCATGCACTCACCAAGATCTGATCTTGCCTCCATCGTCTCCGGCGGGGCGGGGCGGCGGCGGCTCCGCTCTTGCGGCGCAGGCAGGAGCAGCTTGGGAAGGCAGCAGCAGTGACAATGGGATATCCGCTTTGCTAGAAAATCTCCTAAATAAACAAAGAGTTTCTAACTGAAATCTTACCTTCTGTTAGAATCCTACCAGGACTCTTCTCGTGAAAAGAATAATTTTTTAGACTCTCTGACTGTTGACTGTGGCCCCACAATACAAAACATAGGAATACACATTTTTTTCATCAAGGGAACTTTTCATATTCTTTCAAAAATACTCTTCATGGTGCGAATGGTTCCCTGAGTTCACAGTGCTCAATGGAGCTCCTCGGCATTCGGATCATAGACCAGTAATAGTTTGCACACAAGAGGAGAGCAGAAGGATGGCGGGCGGTGACCATGGTTTTCGCTTTGAGGCCTGGTGGCTGAAAGAGGAGGGATGCAGTGCCGAAGTTCAAGGGGCTTAGGAATAAGGCTATTTGGAGGGAAGAGGAGACGTAGCTTCTGCGTTGCGGAGTGTGGCTGGGAGGATGAGGAAGTGGGGGGAGGAAGTGGCGGGGGAGTTGGAGAGCCGCCTGAAGAAAGCACGCCAGAGTCTAGAAAGATGCATGAGGGCTCCGGTATCTGAGGAGAAAATAAGAGAGGAGGCGAGGCTGAGATGTATGATGGAGGACCTTGAAGAGAAGAAAAACACCAAAGCCAAACAATTATCACATGTATCTTGGCTAAGAGATGGGAACAAGTGCACGCGCTATTTCATGGCAGTGGCGTCGGCGAGGAAGAAAGCAAATAGAATCAAGATGTTGAGGAAGGAAGATGGGACGGAGGTGAAGGAAGGAGAAAGGCTTAATAACTATGTGTGTTCATTTTTTCAGGATCTTTTCACTTCCGCCGGAGGAAACCACTTGGTCAAGCTTCTCAACAAAGTGCAACCGCGCGTAACAGATGCTATGAGGGACATCCTTGAAGCGGAAGTGTCCAGAGAGGAGGTCAAAGCAGCGCTTGACCACATAGGTGATCTCAAAGCCCCGGGGCCAGATGGGATGCCCTCAATTGTGTACAAGAAACACTGGCACTTTATGGGGAATAAGGTGGTGGATGAAGTGATCTCGGTCCTCAAGGGGGGGCCAAATGCCAGCTCATTCCCAAAGTGAAAAATCCTTCTAAAATCAAGGACCTGAGGCCCACCGGTCTGTGCAATGTAGTATATAAGTTATGCTTCAAGGTGATTGCGAACAGGCTGAAACTTGTGCTCCCAGATATTATCTCAGACAACCAAAGTGCTTTTGTCCCCGGTCGACTCATCACCGACAATGTGCTTATAGCCTACGAGTTGTCGCATGTCCTTCTCAATAAGAAGAGAGGAGGAGAAGGTATAGAAGCAATGAAGGCGGACATGAGCAAGGCCTATGATAGAGTTGAATGGGATTTCCTGCGGGCAATGCTTCTTAAGCTGGGGTTCGGTACACGTTGGATTGATCTAGTGATGAATTGTGTCACCATTGTGCGATATCAAATCAAGATCACTGGAGAATTAACAGAGCAGTTCACTCCCACTCGAGGATTACGACAGGGTGACCCATCATCACCGTACCTCTTTGTCATCTGCGCAGAGGGGCTGTCGGCGTTGTTACATGATGCTGAAGCTAGTGGCCGGATAGGTGGCGTAAAGATCTGCCCGACTGCACCGATGGTCTCGCACCTTTTATTTGCCGACAACTCTGTGCTATTGCTTAAGGCTAAAAGGGAGGAGGCAGAGGCTTTGAGGGACATTCTGGACCTCTATGAGAGTTGTTCAGGACAATGCATAAATCTGGATAAGTCAGCAATTATGTTCAGTCCAAATACCAGCGTTGAAGCAAGGAATGATGTGAAGAACGCCCTGCAGATCCAGAGCGAAACTTGGAATGAAAAGTACCTTGGCCTGCCTGTTCACGTAGGGAAATCGATGAAAAAGGCGCCCGCGTTTGTCAAGAACGCCATCTCGGGGAGGGTTTACGGTTGGAAAGAGAGGCTCATTGTGAAAACAGGGAAGGAAACGCTGGTGACATCAGTGGCCCAGGCTATACCCACGTTCACCATGTCATGCTTCTACTTGATCAAGACCTTTTGTGAGGAGCTCAGTTCACTGATTAGGAATTATTGGTGGAGTCAGCAAGATAAGGAACATACGACCCACTGGATAGGATGGAACAAACTGACACTGCCAAAGGCACAGGGAGGACTCGGATTCCGGGACATGCACGCGTTCAATGTGGCCATGTTGTCCCGTCAGGCATGGAGGCTGATCCAATATCCAGACTCGTTGTGTGCACAAATCTTGAAAGCTTGGTACTATCCGAATGGTCAGCTTCTTGAGGCACAACCATCTGCAGGTATTTCTTATGCATGGCATAGCCTGCTTCATGGAGTCCAACTTGTCCGGGAGGGCTTCATCTGGAGGATCGGGAACGGTACTAATGTTAACATATGGTCCAACCCTTGGATTCCCCGGCCCTGGTCTAGAACTATGATCACGCCACGCGGACAAAGCCTCCTACAGCATGTGAGCAAGCTTATTGACCCATACACTCGCTCCTGGGATGAGCATCTAGTAAGAGATACGTTCTGGCATGATGATGTGGCACACATCCTTCGAATCCCACTTAGTGAAGGAAATATGCCCTAGAGGCAATAATAAAGTTATTATTTATTTCCTCGTATCATGATAAATGTTTATTATTCATGCTAGAATTGTATTAACCGGAAACATGATACATGTGTGAATACATAGACAAACTATATGTCACTAGTATGCCTCTACTTGACTAGCTCATTAATCAAAGATGGTTATGTTTCCTAACCATAGACATGTGATGTCATTAGATTAAAGAGATCACATCATTAGGAGAATGATGTGATTGACATGACCCATTTCGTTAGCCTAGCACTTGATCATTTAGTATGTTGCTATTGCTTTCTTCATGACTTATACAAAGTTCCTACAAGTATGAGATTATGCAACTCCCGTTTACCGGAGGAACACTTTGTGTGCTACCAAACGTCACAAGTAACTGGGTGATTATAAAGGAGCTCTACAGGTGTCTCCAAAGATAGATGTTGAGTTGGCGTATTTCGAGATTAGGTTTTGTCACTCCGATTGTCGGAGAGGTATCTCTGGGCCCTCTCGGTAATGCACATCACTATAAGCCTTGCAAGCAATGTAGCTAATGAGTTGGTTACGGAATGATGCATTACGTAATGAGTAAAGAGACTTGCTGGTAACGAGATTGAACTAGGTATGAGATACCGACGATCGAATCTTGGGCAAGTAACATGCCGATGACAAAGGGAACAACGTATGTTGTTATGCGGTTTGACCGATAAAGATCTTCGTAGAATATGTGGGAGCCAATATGAGCATCCAGGTTCCGCTATTGGTTATTGACCGAGAATAGTTCTAGGTCATGTCTACATAGTTCTCGAACCCGTAGGGTCCGCACGCTTAACGTTACGATGACATTTTTATTATGAGTTTATATGTTTTGATGTACCGAAGGTTGTTCGAAGTCCCAGATGTGATCCCGGACATGACGAGGAGTCTCGAAATGGTCGAGACATAAAGATTGATATATTGGAAGCCTATATTTGGATATCGGAATCGTTCTGGG